TGCCCCAGCACAGCTGGAGCTAGATGCAGCCTCCCTGGGCTGAGCGCAGAGCAGCCAGGCTGGAGGTAAGAGAAGTAGCTGCCTGGCCAGCTGGCCATGGTGCTCAGCCAGGGTGCACCAAGCTCCACATGGGCAGGCGCAGAGGAGAAGCTGCCAATCAGCTGGAGCACGGGGCAGCCTCTTTCAGCTGAAAGCCACAGTCAGCTGGCTGGGGTGTTTCAGACCTCCCAGCTCACACTCATCTGTGTTGTTGCTCAGTGAGTAGCTGCTCCTCAAATGAGGAAATCTAATGTAAATGTACTGTGCAGGCGCGCAGTTCAGAGAGGGCTCAAGAGCTACTCTTAGAGCCCCTGAGATCTACCGGTAGATCGCGATCTACTGGTTGGTGACCACGGCACTAGACACACTCTCCACCTCAGAAGGTGAAAGAGCTGCACCTCCATTCCCTCAGAGGGTCCCGGCAGCCAGAGTCTCTCTGCCCCTACGTTTCGTTAATGTATTTGAACCATTATAGCGGGATCTTGCCCTTCCTGTGAACCCCCCATAAAGCCCTGGTGACAGTGGTATATGTAGGTGAAAGCCATGACACAGTGCCATAGTTTAATAGATATAGAACCATTAGATCAGTGGTTTTCAAGCTCTGGGTCACAACCCAGTACTGGGTCATGGAAGGTCGGGCACTGGGTCTCATTGCTGCAGTGGGATCAGGTGAGCAGTGGGGGTGCTAAGGGAGCTCTTGGCCTGGTACTGTAGGCTGTGCTGTGCTCCAGAATGGGCCAGCTGCTTGGGGGGAGGGGGGAAGAGCACCCAGGGCTCTGTGCACTGCCCCTAGGGTTGCTAGATTTTCACCAAAAATACTGTGTTCTCTTCCCCCTCCCCCCCAAAAAAATTTTTTGTCTCAATTTCTTTACTGGACAGAAGGCACAAATACCAGACTGTCTAGTTCAATATCAGGCAGCTGGCAACCCTAACTGCCCCTGAGCACCAGCTCCACCCTCCCATTGGGTGGGAACAAGCCCCTCCTATCCCCCTCAAACCTGGAGTCCCCTCCTATGCTGCAAAATTCTCATCCTCAGGCCCTCTCTGTAGCCCACACTCGAGTCAAATTCTGTTGGGTCATAGGCATCAACAATTTTCTTCAATGGGGTCATGAGAAATAAATTTTGAAAGCTGCTGCATTAGATCAGCTTGGCTCACCTCCTGTCTAGCACAGCCCATTCAGTTGGACTAAAGCAATTTTATTTGGCTATGGAACCCTTTTAAACGTGAAAGAATTTCGAGGAACTCCTAATAAGTCTTATATATGGAGCTGAAAAAGTAGACCACCAATCAGTAAGGTTAATAATAACAAATGCTGAACAAGGTCATTAGATCAACATTTAATTACACATTTTAAAACAAAAATCACATTTTTTCGGTGCTGTTAGGTCCCTTTAGAAATGCAGAATGGCAGTGCGGGGGGAGAGGGAGGTGTTTGAAAGCTATCCAGGGAACCAGAGAAGGAGCCGGTGTCTGCGTCCAGGGAACCAGAGAAGGAGCCAGTGTCTGCAGGCCGGCTCCTCGCGGAACCCTTACTTTCACTTTGCGGAACCCTGGGGTTCTGTGGAGCACCATTTGGGAAACACTGGACTAAAGTGTCTTCTGGAAATGTAGCCAGTCTTGATCAAGAGATGGGAGAATCCACGGTTTCCGCTGGTCGTTTGTTCCAATGGTTATTCACTCTCCTGGTTAGAAACATGTGCCTTATTTCTAGCTTGCCGTTGTCTGATTTCAGCTTCCAGCCCTTGGTTCTTGTGCCTTTCATCACTAGATGAAAGAGCTCGTTAATGCCTGGCATTTTCTCCCAAAGACGGCACTTCTGTATTATGGTCAAGTCACTTCTCAATTTTCTTTTGGATGTGCTCAACAAATGGAGCTCTATGTTTCTCTTGTAAGGCATTTTCCTCAGCCCCTGAATCCTTTTTGTGGCTGTTTTCTACACCCTCCTTTTAAAAATGTGGATGCAATATTCTAGTATTGATCTTCCCAAGCTGTATACAGAGGTAAAGTCACCTCCCTGCTTCCCTGTTTATATTACAAAGGATCATGCTGGCCCTTTTCTGCCACAATATCCCACCAGGAGTTCACATTGAGTTACATAAGAATGGCCATACTGGATCAGACCAAAGGTCCATCTAGCCCTGTATCCTGTCTTCCCACAGTGGCCAATGGCAGATGCCCCAAAGGGAGTGAACAGAACAGGCAATCAATTGATCCCTCTTCTGTCAGCTATTTCTAGCCTCTGACAAAGGCTAGGGACACCATTCCTACCCATCCTGGCTAATAGCCATTGATGGACCTAACCTCCATGAATTTAGCTAGCTCTTTTTTGAACCATGTTAAAGTCCTGGTCTTCACAACATCCACTGGCAAGGAGTTCCGCGGGTGACTATGCGCTGCGTAAAGAAAAGCTTGTCCATTATGGCCCTAAATCCCTTCCAGACTCACTGCTTTCTAGGGGAAGTCCCCCATTCTGTAGGGGTGGGGCTGCATTCCCTTGGGTGTGTCTGTATTAAAATGCACGGTGTAGGAATGGACTCTTCTTGCCAAACAATCCAGATTGCTCTATGACTGCCCTGCCCTTAGCAGTTTTCTGCACTGTGCTAATTATTGTGTCACCCACACATATGATCAGCAAGTGATTGTATACCTATGTCCAGGTCACTGATGAACATGTTAAATAGCACTTAGCCTAGTGTCAGTCCCTACAGTAGTGTTTCCCAATTTTATTTGGCCACAGAATCCTTTTAAACTTGAAATAATTTTGAGGAACGCCTAATAACAGTCTTAAATATGGAGCTGAAAAAGTAGTAGTGTCATCATTGTCCCCACTCTCTGGCTAAGCCGGCATTACACAGGGATGCTTATCATGGCAAACACAAATGAAAATGGTTTTCAATAAAATTAATAAATGCTGAACTATGAATTATTTTTTTAAATAATAAAATGTGATTGTAATAGAATTTTCTTGCAGAACCCTTATTTTCACTTTCCAGAACCCCGGGGTTCTGCCTAGTGCCATTTGGGAAACAGCCCTACAGAACCCTTAGAAACACTCCCATTCAATGGGGATGATCGTTTGCTATTGACAACTACTTTTTGAGCTCTATAGCATGCCAGTTCTTAATCCATGTAATTGGTGCTTTCGTGCCATCCTTCAGTGCTAATTTTATAATCACTTCCGCCCACACCCCCACTTCCCTCCTGCACCCCCCTTCCCACACAGACCCTGTGGAGCCCCCCTGCTCCCACACCCACCTTCCTGTCCAGACCCTACTCCCCAAGCCTACTTCCTGGGAGCCCCTCCCCACATTGAACCCTTTTTGGGGAATCTGGGGAGCCCCACAAAAATCTACTCGCCTGGGGCCCCTGTAAACCCCTGT